ACATAAATGAATCACTTAAAGAAGGGCATAACTATTAAGCAACAGGTGAATGTAATATGAGGTTACTAGTCTAGAATATATTATTTATAGATACAGTATACATGTTATTTTAAGTAATGCTAGTGAAATAATGTTTTAAATTTTGACATCGAAGTAGTATACAGGTAGCGAATTTTTATGAAAGGTTAAGGGTATCAAAAAACTCGCATTGCATCGGAGACCGATTCTACTTGTTTTTCAAACAAAAGTGCAAAACATGTCGATTGAATCAAATTGAAATGTGTACGATTAGGTAAAATTGTTAGCAGTGAATCAAATTCACAGAGTTTAAATATAGTATTAGATATAAACAGTATTTAACTTGGTTATGATCTAATATTTTCAACCAGTCTGATCGAAATATTTTATAAGTATACAGTCTTGCCGAATATTTTTTTAGCATTGGGTTTTTACAAGGTGCAGTTAAAATACACGAACTGGAGACTGCGGGTGTACTGCTGGAGGTGGATAGGAACACCTGCTCTGTGTGACTAGTACCAAACTTGCAGTTGGAAGAAAGTTCATTGGGAGAGACAATGTGCTAGTGTATTCTCACAATAAGATGTTAAAGAATGACGCTTGTATAGTGGGTAACCTGAGTCAGCTATTATGTGTAGGAACCAAATGTTTGCAGTCTTGGGCTCATTTCTTCTTGTTAGATCTAGGTTCTGTTCATCTAACAACTAGACAATAGTGAAAGGAATGTGACTAGGTTGGAGGGTAATTAGTGTAGCTGTTGTCCAGCAGGGTTCTCAGTGGACAGTATGTGCTGATCAAGTGGAAGCCCAATGAAGTCTGAGTGACTGAGATGGCCACAGGTATTAGATACATGTTCTACAGTGATATAGCTTGGTGTGTGTGTTATATATATAATCCACATTTACTGTTTATTCTATATATATATTATGTGAAAGTATAAACATGTATGACAAGTGAAACACAATGATAGAACATAGATTATTAATCCTTT